TTTTCTCTTACTATTCTACTAAAGATAATTCAGTAATAAAGTCTATAGTTATAATCTTAAATAATTCACTAAAAACTGATAAGAGCTTTAATAAGCTATATTCCTTATATTAATATACCTTTATTTTTTAATACACTATATAGATTCAGATATGATATTCTATATCAGCTTTTATTACTAATTAATAATACTTTCAATATACTATTATTAAAATTCATTCTTTTCTGAAATGTCCTTTTTAAATATCATCATAATTATTTCTTATAATTTTTAACTATAAGGCCTTATTTGGCAGCATATAGACTGTATCTTTATACCAGAGTAGATCACTATTTCTAATATTCTAGTTTAAGTCTTTGACTTTATAAATACTTTCTTAGAGATTTTTCATTTTCTTCTATACAAAGACATTCCCTTACTGACAGATTCGAAGAAGGGCTTTTATATCTGATTTTATATCTATATAGATTGTTTTGATCTTCATAGCTTTAATAGCTAGAGACCACAGTATTAAAAACTCTAGATTTCTTATAATACTAGTAGTAATACTCTTATCTATAAGGACATTTTCTATTTTAGGCTTATAAGAATCACTTTTACTAATAGTGAGAAAATCTTTCTATTTTTCTTTTTATATATTGGTTCGCTTATAGATTCTTTATATCTAAGAGAAGGGTTTATATTATTTTATTCAGCTATAAATATCCTTCTTTAGAACTTCTTCTTTAAGATAGAGAGAAAGGATTTTTTCTCTTCTATATCTTTTATATAGTTAGATTAACAGTTAAATACATCTATAGGATTCTTTGATCTTGGGCGGTATTCTATATTGAAATTATATATTAATAGATATTCTATTTATTAGATCTGATATCTAGACAATATTTTTATAGTAGTGAAATACTGTAGATTATTGTGGTCTATTAGGACTTTTATTATGTGTTAGCTATTCTCTAGGTATTGTCGCCAGTATTTAAAAGTATTGACTATGGTTATTAGTTTGGTATTATGAGTTTTATATCTAATTTTTGATCTTTATAACTTTTGGGATTAGTAGGCAATAAGGTGCTATATATCATTCTTAAATAGTTGAATGATTACTGTATCTATAATACTTCTAGAGATGTCTATTTCTAATTGTATAGATTGGATAGGATTAAAATGCCGCAGTAAAGGCTTTTAATAAAATAGATCTTTAAGTTTTCTAAAGGACTTTAGAGTTTTAGAGATGAACAGTCTAAGGTTTTTCTTTTATTTCTAATGCTTTAATACTCTGCTTGCTGTTCTTTTTATAAGTTTGATCAAGGTCTTCATAATCTTGAAGAACTTCAGTATGAAGTTATAGTAGAAGTTTATAAATTCTAAGAAGAACTAGATTTCTTTTACTATTTGTGGTTCTGGCTATTTTTAGATAATTTAAACTCTATTCTTTTCTATTCTAATATCTTTTAGAGATACTATGAATTTCAGATATTCTATAGTATTGGTACTAAAGCTATACTTACTCAGTTTATAATATAATTGATGTATTTAAAGTCTTTTTAAGATCTCTCAAACCTAGGCTTTATGATCTTTTAGATTCTTTGAATATATGATTATATTATCGAGATAGATCACTATATAGATATTAAACAAGTTCAATATAGCTTTATTAATATAAGTTTGGAAGATAGCAGGGGCATTGATTAGTCTGAATAATATCATATTATATTTATAATAACTATATCTGATTTAGAATACTGTTTTCTATTTATTTTTATATCTTATTCTTATACAGTGATATACATCCTTGAGATTAAATTTAATAAAGTATTTAGTCCCTAATAATTGGTCTAAAGTCTTCAATATTAAGAAAAGTAAATATTAGTCTTTTATTATTATAGTATTAAGACTCTAATAGTCTATATATAGATAAAGACTACTATCTTTTTTTAAAACAAATAGAATAGGGACCTCTACTAAGCTTTTTAATGATTTTATTTATCCTTTCTCTAAAGCTGCCTTTATATATGCTTTTAGTATCTCTTATTTGGACTTAGTAAACCTATATATTGATCTATGGAGAGAAGTTGTATTTGATTTAAATTTAATAGCATGGTTATGCACTATATATTTAGATAGTATATTTATGGCCTTCTTTAAGAATATATCCTCATACTTTTAAAGATACTCTGAAACCTTCTAGTCTAATTTTGCTACTAATTTCCAATCTAAAAATTCATTAAATAGTACTTTTATATAGCCTCTATTATTAATCCTAGCTATATATAGCTATAGATCTCCAATTTTAAGAGTATTAAGTAATATTTAATAAGTTAAATATCTAGCTAAAAACTCTTCCTATATCATAGTTATAATAAGAATCTCTATCTTTCCTAGGCTGATATAGGCCCTATATCTCTAAATTTAGTTTTTTTAATCTATATTTAGATTAATAACTTGAAGTTACAGTATATCTAAAATAATATTATATCTATCTATATTTATTATATTTAACAAATATCTAGTAGTTCTAAATAGCTCTTTAGTATTTACAGTCTTAATATCTATATTATATTAATTATAGAACTGGATTTAATATCTATTAGCAGCTTTAATCCTTTAAAGTATCTTATTTAAATATATCTTAAATCTTTTTATAAAAATTTAATCTATAAAACTGCTCTAAGTATTACTATCAATAAGTATTTAGAATGAAAGAGTCTCTAATATATTAAAAAGCTCTATCATTATAATTAATAATTATTTTTACTATAGATTCTTCTCTAATATAATATTAAATTCAATTTTTAGTATAATTATTACATTTAATAGCTAAGACTTTAATTTTTTAATTTATCTATACCTCTCTAGTCTATTTTAACCTTCAGCTTAGAACAGTCACTAATAAAATACCTAGATTAGCTATAATTAAAACAGTTTTAACTATTTATATAATTTCTATCTTAATCTTAGCTTATATTAAATTTATAGAATTCTTCTCTTAAAGATCTTGAATTTATTTAAAACCTTCATTCTCTATACTCTAGCCGCTTTCTTAAGCTATTATCTTCTTTAAATCTCTTTATAGGGCCTTTAAACTTTTATTATCTATTAACCTTAGTCTTCTAATATTCAGATATAATATCTTCTACTTTCTATAGAAATACTATCATCTCTTTATAGTATTTTAGCTTTTTTAAATATTTTTAAATCTCTATTTATATACTTTAAAGAATCTTAACACTTAATTATTTTATCTACTACTCCTTTATATATTAAAGATCTATCTATTCCTTCAATATTTAAAAGAATTAAATAAACTTATATATAGACTATTCTTTTTATTGCTTTATATTAATATATTAATATAAAATATCAATTTAGAGAAGTTCAAAATTATTAAAGATTTGATAAAGATAGTTTTTAAAGTTATTCTAGTTTATATTAACTATACTTCTATATTTCTTCTAGAATAGAGAGTACTATAGGAACTAAGATTAATCTAGATTATCTAATATTTTATTAATCTTATACTCTAAATATATATTATATTATTCTAAATATTTTTTAAACTAAGATTTAGCTCTCTCAATAAATATCTTATATTTATTATAGCTTCTTCTATTATAAAGATGATCTAATTTAAATCTTAGAGGACATTTCTTTTCTAATATTTCAGTTTAAGGACACTTTTTCTCTATATCTATATCTTTAAAGGTGAGATCTTAGATTTAATTTTAATTCTATAGTATATTCTATTTTAGTTCTGTCATTTAGACTTATTATTCTAAGCATTTATTAATTATTTCCAACTTAAAGAGAGTCATAGAGTTTAATTACTTCTTGATAAGTTAAGTATAAGCCTTACTTATAGCTACTAGTTCAGAACTATATCTTTAATATTCTCTCTATAGTATTTTTATAAGTTTATCAGTATCTCTAAATTCATATTAAGGTGTTGTCCCCTTTAACTCATTCAGGAGTTGCTTAGAGATAATGGCTACTAACATATTTCTAATAATAATTATTTCTGAATGATTACTAATCTTTTATTTTAAGGTTTAGAACAATCAGAATGTGAGACAGTTATTGAAAAGTAGATAAATGTTAAGATTTATTGATTGAATATAGGGCTCAATTAAATATAGACTGATTGCTGACCTGCGGTATATATAGCTGTAGATGTGGATTATATAATGTCTCAGCTAGCTAGTGCTTTGGTAGCGGCGCTGTGAGGTCCTCTGAAGGTGCCTTAGAGGCGCCGAAGGGTTATAGACCTCTTATAACATGTAGGGCCTCATATATATCTTTATCCATTTATAATGTTATATTATTGATCTTCAACATTCATCTCTTTCAGTCGATGATTGGGTTCTATTTTTATAATTAGATTATTCTAAGAATTGCATTATAGCGATTATGATTTAAAAATAAGATTTTAAATATTATATTTATAATATATTTTTCTGACTTTAGAATTATATTCTTAACTATCTATAAATATTCTTTATTAAAGATAGTTTTATTTATGATAATAATTATCTGTCATCATTATATTTACTTTATAAGATTTTCAATTTGTACCCGGGTTGCGGAACTAAACTCTATTCAGATTGATTTTCGGCTTCCTTCGTACAGAAACTTAGGGTTAGGGTTGATATATTATTACCACGCACCTTGCGCATTTCTGCTAGGTTCCACTAGATCCACAACCAAGTGGTTCGGTGTCTCTTGACAACTTCGTCGCAATTCTGCTTGAATATACATCACTTCAGTTCATGTCAGCCCGATTAAAGTCTTCAAGCGAAGAGTAATCAATCTCACAAAATGGATGCTTACGCTAATTTAGCTCATTGGCAGTCCTCCTCTCTCACCTTTATAACCTTGACTCTTTCCCACTCACGGAATCATGGACTTCCGTTAGTTCCTTTTGTTTCATATGATTCTTATGATATTCAGTTTTCTTATTTTCTCCTGATAGTTCGTCGTTGTCAACTGCTCCTTGAATGCGAAAGACCATGGCTCGTGCTTGGTATCATGATTCAGACGACTCAGTCAAAGATGACAGCTCAACCGAGTCTGTTTCCTCGGACACTGACCTGACAGAGCCAGAAGATGGATGTGCCTCAGAGACAGATTAGACAGACTCTGGCGCTGAGGACTCGGACGTTGATCTATCAGAGACTCAGGATGAGACCTTTTCAGACGCTGATTCAATGGAATATGATGACGAGAATATCGCTGATGCTGAGGAGCCTGGGACACTCTCGCACGAAAGCCCCAGCATCAAGGAGCTCGCCATTTCTATCAATCAGCGCTATGAAGATCCAGCCGACAACCCTACGCAAAACCTCTCCGATATCGATCCGGACTTCAACAAGTCTGGTAACACTAAGAAACTACGATCACGAGTGATTGATCGTTGACATTGGTTTGTATTGTGCATGTCCCAACTTACTGTTCGGCAGCTGATTTCAGCGCTACACAGGTTTTGCAACGTGAAAGTCAGAGAAAAGTGCCACCACTTGAATTAGAGTAAACCGGAGGCGGCACTCCGAAGGGCGTCTGCGGATTGGCTATATCGCTTTCTACATTGGTGCTGTCGACTGCGGCATGGAAAAGATAACCGAGTCTGTAAAGGCTACGGCAGTGCTGATTCTCTGAAGACTGACTGGAAGTATTTGCGCGTATACTACCAAGCGACAAAAAAGCGGAAAATGAAGAAGAGTATGGCAGCGCGCCTACGCACGGTATGCTGTAGCCATCCTAGGTAACGTAGAAGAGGCTGACATGTTGTAGGGCATCGCACAATTGATTGTTGAGTTTAAACTAAGGACGCAGCCTCGTAAGAATGATCCAGTCTATATCGAAGACATGATTCCGTTCAACGAAACAATTCTCCGAACACGGGAGAAACGGTTCTACTTGGGCATCCAGCGGATCATGTTATGCCTGGTCTTGATGCTTGGGCTTTTCACTGCTGGCCGTAAAACTGCTATCCTTAAACTGCAGTACAAGCACCTTCGACTCAGCCTACAGCGCAACCCTCACGGAGGACCACCTGTACTATCAATTGACATCGAGCCAGAGCATATTAAGACACTTCTTGGGATCAAAGCGCTGTATGTTATACCTCCCATCCTTATAGATATCTAATCACCTGGTTTCCTCTAATGCTAATTATAGGAATACCTTTTCTTTTCCGGAAATCATCTATGGTGTTTCACTCGTCTTTAGTCCCCATGTGTTTATCATGGGACTGCTATTCCATGCTCGCGCTTTCTAAGCTAATATCAGATCCATGGATGATATGCGGCGACTCTTTGTCATGCGTGGTTGCCAACAACTAGAGTTACCATTAAAGAAAGAAATGGATGAGTATTATTTATTCTGCAAAGTGGAAGAAATTGATGGAGAGCCACACATTGTTCGCGATCAACCTATGAGTGATGGTGTTTTTTATGCGGCTATTAAATCTATCTCATTCATTATGGGTCTTTTGTGTGTCTTCTTCTACCATCAATTTCGATTTGGCACTGGGAAAATTCTAGACAAAACTGGTAAGACTTTTTCTCTTGAGTATCCAATCTCTTCATGCTTTCTCACATGGATGTTCAGGATGGATCAGCGACTCCGCGCGTAACCTGATCATGAACCACGCGGACACTTCCACGTTTGTCAAACATTATCGCCCGCGAAACCATACTCAAATGCAACAAGTGGTATTTGGTATGGATGAGGACGAGATTTGGGATCGAACTTTAAACAATATGAACCGGAACAAGGATAAACGTCGCCCACGATTCCTTGACGACACGGAGAAGGCTTTCGTGGAAAGTGAGCCAGAGTTGCAGGAGGCTATCCGTGAGCTGGATTATTTGCAAGATATCTATGAGCAGAATCCAATCCCCGAATTTGCTTCAGAGGTCGCTCTAGCGCACAAACGAGTCCTTAATACTCGTCAGAGGCTCAGATACAAGCGGTTGGGTCAGGTACGGCGAGAGTTTGGGCCAAAGCAAGCAGTCATCGACACTAACGGGCAGCTCGATGGTACCATCTTACCAGAAGATGATGCCGCTGAAGAAGTACCGCTGGACGATAATACGCCTGTTATTCAGGTGACACTCGTGGAAAAACTGACAGCCGTGCCAACCGTCTGGACTCTTGAAGGAGAATGGCAGCGACGTAGTGAAGGTGTAGATGCCATTATTCCGTACTGTGACTTTCGGGAAGGGGGCCCCCTTCGAGGCCGGCGGAAGCAAAAGCGAAGTATCAATGATGATTATGCACACGGAAAAGCGTTAAAGAAGTCCACAGAAGAGGAGAATAATACGTTCTCAAGTACAAAGACCAAGCATGAACAAGAGCAAGAGCACATCAGGACCACTAAGAAACCTCTCATCTGCTTTCAATGCGGCAAAAAATTCACTCAGCATCAGAGTCTTCTCAGACATTTCCGACCCAAGCATTTGAACGATCAGATGTGCAACTTTTGCGCTGATAGGATGGAATATCTGGAACGGATGCATTAACAGAATCATGCTACTGCCATCCATCGTTTGAAGACCTAATTAAAATGTTTCTGTCATTACATATGATACATGAAAGTCAGTGTACCAATTAATTTTGATTGCTCAGAATGCCACCTTACCACGATGCACATTCCTTACCAATAGAGTATATGATAGAAAAATTGCAATCAGCTCAGATCCATTACATATGCGTCCACTGTCCCAATGAGATTACTGTTTTCTTATCATATATAACAGGTTACAGTAAAGAATGATAGGTTATAGTCAGTGTTTATATTCTTTATGCTTGTACTTTATACTATCTACTTAAGATTATAATCTTAATTCTAGGCCTTATCTATATAACTTATCAAGTAAAGTTGAGATTATACTCTGTCCATATCTTAATTGAATATTAATGATATATAGTACATTTAAGCAAGGGCTCTCTGAAATGCCTGTATTTATGAACCACAGTCAGTTCTCTTTCATAAGCTAAAGTTATAAATACTAAGCTGAGTATCTAGATCTATATAACTCTTCACTATTACACATAAATATTGATAGCATGATGACTTTACTGCCTACTATCATAATGCTGTCTAAAGTCACAATAAAATATTTATACCACCATATCTTTCTCTTTTCTCAACTTCTATAAAAGGATGACTATGATACTAGGATTGAGTTTATACTTCTTGATAATATGATTCATATTCTGATTAAATTCAGAGAACTCGTAATCTAAAAGCAAGTTAATGTTCTTAACTTGGCCATTAAAATACTATGTTGTTTGAAAGATAACTATAGAAACTATAACAAAGTGATTAAAGACAGATTGATTGAAAATCTAAAGAAATTTAATGATTATAGTAAGCTGCAGTATTGAAGATTTATAAAATAGCATACTGATGCTTCTATTCAGAGGGCTTTCTATCAATCTAAATTCGCAGTCAGAATGCTGCTCTATTATTGACTAAGAAAAAGATTAAGATATATGTTAAGACATTCAAATTATCACCTTATAATGAGTCTGTTTATAGCATTGTTAGCTATCTATAGCATTAATTTCCCGGTTCAACTTTTACTCTAGATCAGGACACATTCTAAGACGCGGATCTGCAGCATACAATTATATAGACCCTCTTTAAAATAAGTTAATAATCTGTAGCTAGCACTAAACCTAAGATTCAAAAAGCTGGCTAATCATATGATAAAGAAAGAGATATAACTGCACCAAATATAGTGACTAAACTCTTTATTACCTTCTTACAACCTTAGTGCATTGTTACTACGAATCTATAAATCTATAAAAACAGTTATGAAGAGATACTATAGCTTGATTATAAAATGTCCTAAAGAAGATCTTCTCTGTGACTCTTAATCTGGGTGATTCTTCAACTGGTTATTCACAGACTTCACATATAAAAAAATGTGATAGAAGATCTCTATAAAGACTTCATAATATATTATATAAATGTAACCCTTAAAATATACTATAAAAGGATATCTACTAAATGGGTGTACATCATGACTACAAAAATCGCTCGTCAACTTCAAAAGCTTGACCTTACTCATGAACCAGCTTGATTTTTAGTTATCTAAGACACTCTAAGAGGTGTTAACAACCTCATTTAAAGAAATTAAAATAAAACTATCTTGCGAAATAGACTTAAAATTGATTGGAATCACTTAGCAGATTTAAATTTTGAGAATAATATTTATTATTCCTTATCAGATCTGGATTTGTAGCTTAAAAACATTAATAGATACAGAGACTCTGCCCTATCTATAGATTTCTAGCTGCAGTTAAAACTGTTTTACTATCAGAGAATACAGTTGCTCTCTTATCTTAATCTCACTGATCTTAATTACAAAATATTTAACCTTATCATCTTTAAGGACTGGATCAGCTTCTATTTAGAAGATTGACTTTAAGTCTATATAATAATAGACTAGATCTACTAACAGTTGAAAATTCTCATAAGTTATTACTACAACTTAGCTAAGTTAGTGTATTCTTCCAACCCAGAAGCTATATTGATTATGCTACTAACTATATTGGAACTTTATATTGCCTGTGACAAGTCTGTACTTCAAATCTATCTATTGCTTTATGATTATGATTTCTATATCTCAACTGGCATGTTTAAATCTCTTTTTTTGCTTTATCAATCTTAGATAGCTTAACTAGCCCATAGAGAGATTTATATAAAGCAATGCTAAGCCCACATATAGCATCATGGGTCTAGCATTTTTAGAGATTTCGGTACATCCTCCTGTTTTTCTGTGAGGTACTTCAATCAATCCAAGAAGCAGTAGGGTTTACTGGTATTGATTGAAGAGCACACACAGCGCAAAAGAATAGCAAAGCATTCCAAGCTTAAATACAAACAAAAACAATATTAAAATCTACATACTTTATTTAAAAGGATGAAGTGCACATATAATGAGATCATTATCAATCAATATCATAATATGTAAGAGAAGCGCCATAGTGGCCAGTGTCAGAAGTATTTATATAAGAAGCAAGCTAAGAAGATTAAGATTGAGGTTCATAAATAGTCTTTATCTTTCAACCATCTTAACACAAAGTCTATTATATTTGAACTGAATACACCTCAACCATTTATCTAGTAGAGAGATGCTACCATTTTTTTACTGAATGTTCTTCATATTGACTATTATATTAAAGATCAACCAAGAGCTATATACTAATTACAATCTTATAGTAGTCTTTCTTCTTTTTTTATGTCTGTTAAAGATACTGGAAGAATAAGTCTGCTTTCATAAGATAAGCCTCACATTGAAACATATAAGAAAGATAGAAAAATTATTAATGTTATTATTAATGATATTTATCTCGATAACAGATTGCATTTTCAGTATTTTAATGAGAAAGTGGGTTGTTATATAGCAGAGTTTGATACTATAAATGAAAAAGCTGCAATCTTATGTATCTATAAGTTGCTACAACTAAGCTCATCACTGCAGCAGTTTCTACTCCGCATAATAATAAAAAATGATGGACTCCTGTCTAATATAATTATCGCTTCACAGCATGCTTACCCAGCAGATATGACATTTAAAGAGTACAAAACATTGTGTTCGATATCATATAGAGTGCGAATTCAATAGAAAAACATACTACAATAATTAGCAATGCCATCTATTGTCTTTAAAAAGACAGAAACATGCATCTTTCTTCTTCAGATCATTAATTAAGCTGGCCCGGCGGGGAACTCTATCTTAAAAATTGGACATGCTATTCTAAATAATAATCTATTTATGATTAAACTTCTAATATAAATCAGAAAATCTGCCAGTCGAATTGAAAAGAACTGAGAGTCTAGTCAGAAGCTCTTTATACTAATAATCCTTACTTTAAGAGTATTAAACCTCTCAAATTCGAGACACATTCAAGATCTCTATCTTGAAAATCTATCATATACCCGTGAGATCGCCTTTTATTAGATAGATATTATTAAAGATAAGGCGAATAATACAATTGAATATAAGCATCGAATAGAGTTGATGGCATAAAATGCTTAAATAGCGTTTATTTGTATCTCTATCTTCAATATAAAGACAACTCATCTTTGTTAAGTTATAAAGCAGCCTTTAGAAGCCATAATCTATTTCTAATGCTGTATGATTATTTAAGATAGGGAGAACATCATTAATATAGCATCTAACTGCCTCCTTCCAATTCTATTTTTCCAATGGAAGGCTTTATCATATCACTTCTATCGTCTCATTATAATTAAAGGTATTCTTGTATATGAACTGATCGCAGCACTAAATGAGGCTATCGTGCGGATATGGGCCATGTACTGTATTGGCTCTCCTTGGTCAACTGTATCACAAAAAGCCGACTACTGGCTAGTTATCTAGATATTATATAAATTCTTAAAAGAGAACAGCTTGCATATTTATTATAATATTCTAACTAGAGAACTTCTAATCAACAGTCAGCCATTAGATTCTTTTCTTTTATATTATATACGCTACAAAACCTATAAATCGCTATTCAGTTGCTTTTTTATTGAGATGATATCAAGTAGTCTTTTTAGAATATAATTTTCTATACAACGTAAGTATATAGGCAATATAGTTCATTTAGGAAAGTAATACATCTCTAGATCTAATAAGTTTGACCTGTGCGTTTGTGCGGTAAAGAAAGATAAAGTTTGGGAATTCATTCCATCAAGATTACTGCAGGGTTATTTCCAGATGTCTTCATAGAGAATTATGTTCATTAGTATAACCTTAATGATAGATATCTGGAATTTCATCCTGCTATAGAGCTATGGAAAAGCTGTAATATCTAATGGTGACTGTAAAAGAGATGCTTATAAGGTGATTAATACCTTATAAAAAGCGATATTAGTTTGATTAACTTGAGAAGTGACACAGCTAAATTAATATTTATAATTTTTAAATCGATTAAAAGAGCTTCTAAATTGCACTATAAACTTCACCTATTGTCTTCTGAATTAGAGACTAAAATTCTCTGCTTAAGGGTTAGCTTTAGTCTTAAATTAGAACAATCATTCATTATATCTTGTCAATACCCCAATATGATGATTGATGCTGATCAGTTGTTGAAGACTCTTGTTAGTCTGTATAATAAACTTATGCTGATCCATGTTAATAATCTTAATCAGATGGTTCTTATTCTGGAAGGTGATATGATCTAAAAGAAGAATATAGATTATGTTATAGTTAAGATTAGCTGGTAGGCAAAGGTTAATCTTCATGTTTTTGTAGTTGACAGCTAGCTAGATCAGTTAATAGATAATAGAAGTCTTTAAAATAAGCTTATGCTTTTCTATTTATATGCTGTTACTTCTTTCTATATTTCTGATCCCTTCTGTATTCCTGTCTTCAATAGTGACTATAGTGATGTCGTACTAAGATTAATAATGATAAATAGGATATAAGTGATGATTTTTATATATTAAGAGTAGTAATTATAGTGATATAATACTAATAATGATGGTGATAAATAGATAATAAATGATGGTCTTTATATATTAAGAGTAGTAACTATG